TGAGTGCCCACGGCGAGGGTGGGGGCGGGGAAGTTGGGGTAACACCTCCTCTCTCTTCAACCCTTCCCCCAGTTCAGGACTTTGAAAAACGCCTCAGCGGCAGGGCAGGGGTGTAGGGGGGCGCTCTAGGAACGTGGGGAGATGGCGGAGACAGAGCCAAGGACTCCCCAGTGCCCCATACCTAGTCCCAGGGGTATCGGGAGTGTGCCAAGAGGGGGCAGTGTAGGGGAAAGGCTCGAGCAGGTGGCTCCAAAGCCCGGGACAGAGGGTTAGGAGGAGGGAGGGCTGAGGCTGAGGGCACCGAGGCTTTGGAGGGGGAACATGCGATGTCTAGGGCTCCAAATTCTGGATTTATGGGGTCTGAACACAACAGCTAGGCGAGAAACTGGGACTTTTGGGGAGAGGGACAGTCCGGACCTCCTCTGCCTCAAGTGAAGGACAAATTAGGGAGCTGGGAGAACATCAGCGAGCCGGGTACCAGCCTCTTCAGACAGAGGGATCAGAAAACTTGAGGAGCTCCGTTATTCCCTTCCGCCCTCCATCTCTGCGCATTGCCTTGTCTCCTACCCTTCCTCTAGCCCAGTTTCCCTCCCAGGCTGAAGCCTGGGCACCCAGCACATGGGTGGGCCAGGTGACTGAGCAGTCCATTCCACAGCCCCCTGCTGAAGCTTCCTCTGGTCCTGTGCTCCTGCTCGGCATGGAGGGCCTGGAGGTGAGGCCAGAGGAGCTGAGGGCCTGGGGATTGAGAGGAAGCTCTTTGCTCAGAGAACCAGGCAACCGATAAATATTTAATTCTCCTCTTTGCTTTTATCTCCTGACCCACTGAGACAAATCAGCTCATTAGGCAGTGATTCCCGGAGCTCAGAGAGCGGGGAGAGTGCCTGGAAAGATGGAAGGATGAGGAGCAGGTTCTCAGCCCCTGGAGCTGCCAACCTTCCCTCAAACGTCCCGTGAGATGGCCTCCTCAGGAGAGGACCACCAGATGGCTTGGAAGGGGCCCCCCGATAGGTGTGGAGGGGAGAGCAACCCCAAAAAGGGAGTATGGTCAAGTCTTATCCCACATTCTGCTGCCAGGCCCAGGATAGACGAGTGCGCTCAGAATGGGCAGCTGTCAGTCCTTCCCTGGGACTGGACTCCTTCTGGGCCTAATTCTCTATGGGGCCTCTGGGGCTAGTTACATCGCTGCTAGAGCAGATGATTTTCAAGGCTCTGGTGGACGCCTCTTTCTGACAGTCGAGGGGACAGCTGGCATAGCCCAGGGTGCCAAGGTGAGCTTGAGAACAAACCTCTCTGTGGGGCTGGCGGGCCCTGGGAGGTTCTTCCCATCCCTGGTGAGAAGGCAGGGCTGTGGCAAGGAACAGACTGACATGTGGATGGCGTTGGAGGGCAGCCTGCTGACCCATTGCTCCCTCCCCATCCCTCTCTGGCTCCTGGATCACCCTCCCCCCCCTTCCCTTTCTCTTGCCTGGCTTCTTGCGCTCCCTGAGGCCCCCTCTGAAGCAGTAGGAGGGAGATCAGGCTCTAAATAAATCCACCGGCTCATCTCCCTCCTCTCCTTCCCCCGTGCCAGGCAAGAGAGGAGCTGCAGCCTGCCCACACACTCACTAGGCAAGGGGGGCACCACCGGGGCACTGTGCCAACTCCTGGCAGCTCCAAAAGTACCGAGATTCTGGCTGTTTTGGCATAACAGGGGTGGGGAAGGTAAGACCCCGGAATGTGCTTGGCAGGGCAGTCCTGGCCTCCCCATATGATACCAGAGCTTGAGAGGTGGGTGAACCCTGAGGAATTGGGAGTAATGGAGAGGGGGTTTCCTTCTGAGCACAACTCAGGAAATACTTAGGGAGAGATCCTGTTATTCCCATCCTAGGGTGGGAGGCCAGGAAACCCAGGTGCCCCAGGCAGGAGCATTAAATTAGACTGAGAGCCTGGAGAGCAGGGAGTTGAGGTCAGCTCCTCTCCCGGCACAGTGCGGGGCATCGGAGGTACCTGATGTATTTGCACCAGAATGAGTGGTCGTCCTGCCTTGCTGCCTGCCTCCCAGCCTGTTAGCTCCTGTCCGCTTCAGACTGCGGTCTCCCAGAGGCATTTCTTGTGTCCTAAGACCCCTGGGAAGGAGGTCCCTCACCCTATGCAAAGGTTCTTTGTGGGGCTCAGCCCCTCTTACTTATTTTGTTCTCGGGAGAGATGGAGAACAGCAGGCAGACTCTACTCTTCTGTAAAATGAAAGACTTTCCCCCTTGTGCTATCTTCATGTCTTTGGTCTGCTACAGACACTGTAGCCTAAGGCTCTAGGGCCTGGGATGACACCAAACTGAGGAGCCCTCTTGTTCAAGGCCAGGTAGGAATAGAGGGCCCAGTGGACAGCAGTGGATTTTGCCTTCTCTTGAGAGTCTGGCCTCTGATGCCTTCTGAGGATGTTCGTGCCCAGTGGGCTTGAAGGAATATTCTTCAGCCTGAGAACATTCTAAAGCCCCATTCCCTGCGCGCGCGCGCGCACACACACACACACACACACAGATACACACACACACACACACACACACACTCCTGCATGAACCCCTTATCTAGGCTAGGACCTTCACTCTGCCACTGGCACCTCAGAGTTGAGGAAGTATCATGTCAGGCTTCTGTCTACAAAGTGGGGAAACTGAGGCAGGAAACAAAAGATTTCCTTTTCCCTAGACTGAGAGGAAAACCCAGATATCCTAACTTCCAGACTCTTGTCTCAAAGTCCACCTCTCCTTACTCGTTTTCATATCTCCCTCATGGCCTTGAAGGTGAGCTCTATGACCCTTGTTGCCCAAAGACCCTTCCTGTGGGCAGGACTCAGAGACTCTCCTTGCTCACATTAGCAAGGACCCTTTCCCACTTCCCCAGGGTCCTACTCCTCGGGCTACCTGGTACCAGCAAGGCCTTCCTCCAGGGCCAGATATTCCCTGGGCCTAGGAAAGGTATAGGGAGGTGTATGCCAAGTGGTAGACATAGCTCAGCCTCACCTGTGCCCAGGGAAAGAGTTTTGTGTTACTCTCAGTCTGTATTTTGTTTGCTGCCCATACCTGGCCAGTTGCCCCAGCAGGTGTGGGAGAAAGGAAACTTTAGGGTAGGGGGAGTGGGGGTAAGGGGGTGAGGAGAGTAAAGAAGGGGTAACTTCCAAGAAATGATAGCTCTGTCCCTTCTCTTCACCCTCGTGAGGTAGGGACTCACCATTTGGGAGCCTCCAAGTCTTGTTGAGTAGGGAAGGAGGGCTCTAAGGGAGCAGGTGGTGAGATCCCAACACTCAGGACCAGGGCTGTGCCAACCAGTGTCTCCTGACTGTTGCAGCAGGCTGGACTCCTGCCAGGCATCTGAAAGGGTTGATGTCCAGGCTGCTTTGCAGTCTGGTGTGAACAAGAGGGCTGGGTCTCCTGATTCAGAATCATCTCTAATATTTCATCTTCAGTACATCTCCCTTCTCTCTGCCTCAGAGGACGTGGCAGAGGGGAGAAAAGGGAGGAAAGAGAGAAGTGAAGACCCTATTCAAAAGCCACAGTATTAATAAGCTGGGGGGAAGAGGGGCCAGATCTTTGCACATATGGATTGAGACAGCTTTCCTGCAACCTCAGAGGTACTGGGGCCCTTCTTAGGGGATGAGGGGGCCCAGAAGGATCCAGCCACCCCCTAGGAGATGGAGAGGCTGGGTGTAGTAGAGGCACCCACCATATGTTAGGAAGGTGCCTCTGTGGCATCCTTCACACCTGAGCCTGGGGTCCTATCCCAGGGTTCAGCCTCTCTCCTCTCTCCTATCCCAGGGTTCAGCCGACTCCTATACCAGCCGCCCATCTCTGGACTCAGACGTCTCCCTGGAGGAAGACCGGGAGAGTGCCCGGCGTGAAGTGGAGAGCCAGGCTCAGCAGCAGCTTGAAAGGGCCAAGGTATACCTTCTGGGCATGGGGCGAGACAGGAGGCCAGGCTGAGTGGTAATCTGCACTCAGTCCTAAGTCCCAAAGGGTCATCGGGCAGGATGCACTTGAGTGTGAAAGTGTGTGTGACAGGCAGAGGCAGCAACCCCAGGCTCCCCACTGGGGCTTCCACCTTCTGCTGATGGGGCACTGATGCTGGAAGGGGTGCTCTGAGGCTCCTTTCACTTGCACTGATGGCCAAATTCTTCAGCACAAACCTGTGGCATTTGCGGTGAGGACCAATGTCAGCTACTGTGGCATACTGGATGAGGAGTGCCCAGTCCAGGGCTCTGGAGTCAACTTTGAGGCCAAAGATTTTCTGCACATTAAAGAGGTGATCAACCCCCTCCTCCCAGAAGCCTCTACCACTTCATTTTCTTGCTCTTGCCCCTGATCCCAGTGCCTCTTACTTCAGTCCTCAGTCTGTAAATAAGAAGTCCCCAAACTCCTCACATCTTATCCTCAACACATACTTGTACACCCCCATAGCTAAGACTTGATTTCCAGGGTCTCCATCCTAAGACCTGGTTTGGGTCTCAGTCTTCATATCTGTAAAGCGAGCAGTTAGATTAGCTACCTCTGAGTTCCCCTGTGACTGCTGTAATGCTTCACCCTGAACTCCTGAGTGGCTCAAGCCTGGCAGCCCTTCCCTCTGGCCCCCTGCCCCCTGCCCCTTGTGCTGCCTTCCTCAGACCAGCTCACCGACGGCCTCCCTGGTTCCTTCACCTGCACGAGCCAGGACTGGGGCGGGGCCATTCCTCTCACCGCCTCTTCCTGCTCCACCCCACCCCCAGAAGTACAGCAACGACTGGTGGATCGGGCGGCTTGTGAAAGAGGGTGGGGACATCGCCTTCATCCCCAGCCCCCAGCGCCTGGAGAGCATCCGGCTCAAGCAGGAGCAGAAGGCCAGGTGAGAGCCTGACTCAGTAAGCAACCCTGCCAGACATGCGCCTTGTACCCACAGTACACATCGCCCCATACACCACACACACATATATGCACCCAGTCCATACACTCATGTGCCCAGCATCACACAGATACACATGCACACCTCCCTTACTAGACGCAGTATACGGAAATGAGTACAACTATTAAATAATGCATAGAACATATGTACATAGAAATTTATTCTCACTCTTTCCCGCTTCTTGTCTCCTTTCTCCCTCTCTCCCTCTCAGGAGATCCGGGAACCCTTCCAGCCTGAGTGACATTGGCAACCGACGCTCCCCTCCCCCATCTCTAGGTAGCTTCCCCCCAACCCACTCTTCTTGGGTAGGTGGGTAACTCAGACACAGGGAAAGGGAGGATTCTGCCCAAGTGGGCTGGTAGGGGGATGAAAAGGGATGGGAGAAGCCCCAGGGACGCCATGCCCTTAGGGACTTTCCCCCTTCACCAATTTCAATCTTTTATTTCCTTTTCCAAAAAGCCAAGCAGAAGCAAAAGCAGGTGAGTCAAGGAAGTGACCTGGGCTGGGGGGCTCATAGCTTATGGCTCTGGGGACAGTTTTTGGGTAGTCGTTAATTGAGGGGCAGAACAGAGAGGGGAGGGAGCCCAGAACTTCTGAAGCTGCCCCTACACCAACCAGGCATAAGGCAGGTGCCAGGGCCATGGTTTCATCCGACGTCATGTCCATTCTGCAGGCAGAACATGTTCCCCCATACGACGTGGTCCCCTCCATGCGGCCTGTGGTACTGGTGGGACCCTCTCTGAAAGGTTATGAGGTGAGAGGAGGTCCCTGACCCCAAAGAGTTGCCTCTACCAAGTCTGCTACTGGAAAGCCCCAGGGACAGTGGGAAGGAGTGTTCTCCCTCAGGGATCCATGTGTGAATGGGTTGGAATCTGGGGCCATGCATGGGATTGCTGCCTTTCTCCAAAAGGGCCCTCCATCAGTTCTATGCCTGCCCTCCCAGGTCACAGACATGATGCAGAAGGCTCTCTTCGACTTCCTGAAACACAGGTTTGATGGCAGGTAAGCTGCCCAGGCATAGAGTGGCCTGAGAACCAGGGAGAAGATCATAGCCCACTTCCAGATGCCTTTAGCAAGTCTTCTCTAAAGGGAAAGTTGGCTGGGCACAGCAGCCCATGCCTGTAGTTCTAGCTCTTTGGGAGGTTGAGGCAAGAGGATTGCCTGAGCCCAGGGGTTTGAGACCAACCTGGGCAACTTGGTGAGACCTTGTCTCTACAACAAATCAAAAAACTAGCTACGTGTGGTGGCACATGCCTGTAGTTCCAGTTACTTGGAAGACTGAATTGGAAGGATCGCCTGAGCCCAGCAGGTCGAGGCTGCAGTGGCCGTGAGCGTGCCACTATATTCCAGCCTGGGCAACAGAGTGAGACTCTAACTCCAAAAAAAAAAAAGAAGAAAGTTAGTGGGACTGGGCAGAAAGAGGCCTAGGATTTAGGTCTAGAAGCAAGCTGAGATTCTCCATCTTCACTCCAGGATCTCCATCACCCGAGTCACAGCTGACCTCTCATTGGCAAAGCGTTCCGTGCTCAACAATCCAGGCAAAAGGACCATCATCGAGCGTTCCTCTGCCCGTTCCAGCATTGGTGAGAAGTCCCCATCTCCCGTTTCTCTGCCCACTCAAGCGCTAGTGAGAACCTTTCTCCTCCCTTTTCTCTTCCCCACTTCCTTGTCTTTCTGCCCAACTCCTCTCCCTGCCCCAGGATGGTCAAGGATCCCCACCCTACCCGCGGCCCCAGTCCCCTGTCCTCTACCTGCCCAGGCTTTGCTGAATATCCTTTTCCTCCAAATCCTTCCCATCCACACTGGGAGCAATCAGAGCCCTGCTGGATGGAGTAAGCAGTGGCAGAGCCCCCGGTGAGCACTGCTGCTCCCTCCCTCCATAGCGGAAGTGCAGAGTGAGATCGAGCGCATATTTGAGCTGGCAAAATCCCTGCAGCTAGTAGTGTTGGATGCTGATACCATCAACCACCCGGCCCAGCTGGCTAAGACCTCACTGGCCCCCATCATTGTCTTTGTCAAAGTATCCTCGCCAAAGGTAAGTCAGCAGGGGTCATGGAGGAGGCCCACGGGGCTGCCCCTCGAGACTATGGCATGACTCTGCTTGGTCCCTGGCTGGGGCACCTGAGCTCCCTTTCTCTGCTTCCTTGAACACCATTCTGAGTCATCCTTGCCTGCTACTGATGCCATGTCACTAGTGGGGGACATACCCAGCTCTGCCCAGGCCCAGCTCGGTCCAGGTCCCAAGAGGCACCAGGCCCAACTCTGCCCTTCCTTCCTCAGGTACTCCAGCGTCTCATCCGCTCCCGGGGGAAGTCACAGATGAAACACCTGACTGTACAGATGATGGCTTATGATAAGCTGGTTCAGTGTCCCCCGGTGAGTGCCTGGGTCAAGCTACTCCTGTGTCAACTCCTGCAGGGCTGTGGCAGTGATGGAGGTGGGTGGGAGGCTGCTGCTGAGAGGAAGCCAACACCCACCCCCCCGCCCTGCCCTTCCCAGGAGTCATTTGATGTGATTCTGGACGAGAACCAGTTGGAGGATGCCTGTGAGCATCTGGCCGAGTACCTGGAGGTTTACTGGCGGGCCACCCACCACCCAGCCCCCGGCCCTGGGCTTCTGGGCCCTCCCAGTGCTATCCCTGGACTTCAGGTAACCATTTCCAGTGGGCACATATGCTCAGGCTAAGCCAGCCAAAGCACTGCCCCGTCCCTGCCCAGAGCATTGTCCTTGGCCTCTGGTTCAGGAGGCCAGCAGGGTGTAGGCTCTCAGCTCTGCTGTACAGAGCTAGTGCAGACAGGCAAAGGAACTTCCTGGTGAGAAAGGGAATGAATCTGAGATGGGCAATCAGAGATCAGTTTTCTAGGGGTCAAGGGAAACACAATCTCCAAACCCTTTTCCCCATCTGCCTAGAAAGCAGAGCCTAAATTTTGCGGGAACCAAAGCTCCAGTTTTCTATATCTGAGGTGGAAGAATGCCTTGCACTGTTTCCTGTACTGGGGAGTCGAGGGGAGAACCCCCACCCCACCAGAGCCCAAGGTGAGGTCTGCGCTGCCTCACTTAGAACTGTTGTGTGGCCCCCCCAGAACCAGCAGCTGCTGGGGGAGCGTGGCGAGGAGCACTCACCCCTCGAGCGGGACAGCTTGATGCCCTCAGATGAGGCCAGCGAGAGCTCCCGCCAAGCCTGGACAGGATCTTCACAGCGCAGCTCCCGCCACCTGGAGGAGGACTATGCAGATGCCTATCAGGACCTGTACCAGCCTCACCGCCAACACACCTCGGGGCTGCCTAGTGCTAACGGGCACGACCCCCAAGACCGGCTCCTAGCCCAGGACTCGGAGCACAACCACAATGACCGGAACTGGCAGCGCAACCGGCCTTGGCCCAAGGATAGCTACTGATAGCCTCCTGCTGTCCTGCCCTGGCAGGCACAGGCACAGCCGGCTGGGGGACCCACTCCAGGCAGGGTGGAGTTAGACTGGCATTAGGCTGGCACTAGGCTCAGCCCCCAAAACCCCCTGCCCAGCCCCAGCTTCAGGGCTGCCTGTGGTCCTAAGGTTCTGGGAGAAGCAGGGGGCCCCCTCACCTCCTGGGCACAGTAACCCCTCCTAGGCTCCATTCCAGGTACTAGCTGTGTGTCCTGCACCCCTGGCACCTTCTTCTCCTCTTGCACAAGAAGCTGCCCCACTGGGCAGTGCCCTCAGGCCAGGATCCCCTTAGCAGGGGCCTTCCCACCAGACTCAGGGAAGGGATCCCCCTCAAAATGACAAGAGGGTGGGGGGTGGGCATCATGCCATGAGGAAGAAACGAACAAGGTCCCTGAGCAGGCACAAGTCCAAACAATCAAAGGACTTGGGGGTTGTGCTTTGGAGTCCGATGGCCTCCGCTCCTTCACTGCCACACATCAGGAATGAGACAATCAAAGCCCGCCGGGGTGGCGTGTCCATCCATCAGCTGGGTTGGGGCATCCTTGAACAAAATTGGAGCAGCAGGCTGGCTAGGCTGGGGCCAGAAGGTTGCACAGCTGAGGCTCTTGGAGGAAAGGGCTCTCCTTACCCTGCTGGGAAGTCTCTTTACATCTGACAGAAACAGGGACCAGGAGCATGGTCGAACCACATGACAGAGGGGAGCCAACCTGGATTGGGGGTCTGGGGAAGGAGGGCATGTGTAGCAGAGATCATATGGAACAACTTCGGGGGCCTCTTGCCTTTCTCATTCTTTCGCCCTTGCATCCTGTCATTTCTCTTCTTGTCCCTCATACCTCCTGGGAAAAATGGACTCCAGGCTTTGTTCCCTGACTCATAGCTGCCGCTTGTTAGGTTAGGGTTAGATGGGGAGAGATAAGACACAATGGACAGCCTCCAGAGGCCCTGTCCACCAGGCTACTCTTTGCCTTACGGCTCTAGTGTGTGACCTACAGAGCATGCTCCACAAGACCCTGCCCACCCCACTGTCATCACCAATAAACACCATGCACAGTCCCTTGGGCTTCTGTTATCTGTGGTGCAGGTGGCAAGGTTCCTCACCATGTGGCCCAAGTCTGGAGGGGGTAAAGAAGTATCCTGGCCTGTCTTCTCTCAGGATCCACTGAGTGGGAAGGGGAGAAAAGCAGAGCCGGGGGAGGCACCCCATCCCCAACCTCATGCCTAGGTGTCTGGAGGGAGAAATTCAGCAGCACAGAAGGGCTTTGTCCTGGGAGGTGGGGAAGAGGTTTAGTAGCAGCTTTCCACTGTACCTGCTGCAGCTGGAATTCCTCCCAAGATCCCGAGAAGCAAGGAGGAGAATGTGAACAAGAGGGTGTGAAGGGAGCCCAAGGCCCTGCATCTTCTCACCACAACCTAATGCAGCTGAGCTCGTCACCCCTTGATACCTCCAGGGCCCACCCCTCCCTCCCCATCCTCCAATGAGCAATGGACCCAACTAGGTAGCCACAAGCAAAGGTACTGAGATGTCTGGCAATGGCGTGGAAGAGTGGTTCTGACTGGCTCACCTGCCAAAAGTTCACAACTACTTTTCTTATGCTTGTGCAAAGTTTTCTAAGGGGGGTCCAGGCCAGGGCTACTGTCATGTGAGGCTAGAGCAGGGGAGGGAAGCATTTTGATCCTGCTGCCACAGCTTTTCCATCTGCCAAGTGCCACCTGTGGACTCAGACTCTCAATAGAGACCCCGTGCTCTACGCTTGATGTGATGGTCTCATTTTCTAAGCCAACCCACCGTGCCCAATGCTGTCCTTTGTCCTCTGCCAAGAAAGCCTGGGAACTGAGTTCAGCTAGGACTAGACACAGCCTTAACGTTCATGTGTTTATTCTCAGAACATACAAACGCATCTTCCCAGAGAATAGAAAACAAATTTCACGCAGTGACTTAAAGATGGACACAGCCAGTTCCCTCCATCCCACATCTAAAAAAATTCCCCAGGGGAGGGATGCCTAGAGTGCACAGCACCCCTTGGCGCAGGGCCGTGCATAGTCTACAGGCTTTCAAGTCACTTTATGATCCAAGAGGGAAAACAGCTGTCCAAGTGACAGTAAGATTCCACAGCTATAATCCTCATGGTGCCAGGTCTCCTGGGGTATCTAGGGCAATGATATTGCTGCAGTTTACGCAGTTACACAGTCAAGTCTGCCGAAGGAGGTCCCGTTCGGGTAGTCGGGTTTTTGTTCAGACTAGGGGGTAATGCCAACTGGCTGCCCCCATAACCTGGCAAGAGCCAACAGCCCAGTGCAATCCCAAAGCCCCCCACAGGGGCAGAGCTGGGCCACAGCTAGCAGTCATGTGCTCTCCCTGCCTCCAACAGTATCATCCTCTCCTCCTGCAGCCCCACACTCAGGCCTCCAGACCTGAGGGTCTGGACTGGGGAGTCTGATTGTTTCCTGAGCCCCCATGACCCAAGAGCAAGGACCTGAAAGAGGGATGTGAGGGTTGTGAAGAACGGGCATCCGGCAGCTTCAGAGCATGCCTGTAGGCCCACGGGAAGAGTACTGTGTCAGGCAAAGATGGTCTCTTCCCGGCGCTTCTTGGTGAGGATGGTGCCTGGCTTGTGCTGGGCATCTGGGTGGTTCGCTAGCTCTGGGGGACAGGAAGACACCGGGCTTTCCAGGATGGCTTGCTTCAGCTCATAGAACACGGCAGAGTCCTCCTTGGTGAGGAAGGTGATGGCCACACCACTCTTGCCTGCTCGCCCCGTGCGGCCAATGCGATGGATGTAATCTGGGGATTGGGAAGAAATGTCACTCAGCAGCAGGCCAGGTGCCCTGGTGAACAGTGCCTGAAGCCTCCACTTCTGAAGGCATCCTCCCCACCACACCTATGAGACACACCTCTGAGAGCAGTAAATATGCCTTGTGCTGCCTGCACTGGAAGCACCCAGTATCTCCACAGGTGAGTCTCCCCACTACTACTACTGATTGTGGTCACCCCAACACACTAAGGCCCAGGATTGCCCAGCTCAATTCTTCACACCCTGAGGACAGAAGTGTTATTCCAGGTGCTGGGACAACAAACCCAGGGGAGATAAGGGACAGGAACTCTTCTCGTTGGGACAAGCAGTCCCAGATTTGCAGCTATGAGGGATGGCAGCAACAACCTCCTCAGTACAGCACCCTGACTTTGAATGGGACGACATAAAGAGTCTGACTTTACCTGGATTGAAGCTGCTTTCCCCTGTACTTACCTTCAATATTTTTGGCCATATCATAGTTGACAACCATAGACACATCTTGGATGTCGATACCACGACCAGCCACATCTGTAGCCACCAAAATATCCTTGGCCCCAGCCTTGAGGTTGGACAGTGCAAACTCTCGTTGCTCCTGGCCTTTCCCGCCATGCAGTGTGCAAGCGTTGTACTGTTGGAAGGAGGGCGAGGTTAGGGCCAGCAACGGGCCCAAGGAGAGACACTGAAATTCAGAGGGAATAGGGCCAAGGAGCAGCAGGGTAGGAGAAAAGGATGGAGGCAAGGGAAAGTGAGGAGAGAGCAAGTGAGCTGAAGACAGGGAAGGGAGAGAACGGGGTGTGGTGTGCCGGAACGTAAAGAAGGTCAAAGACAAAGCAGAACGAGATGTGGAGTAGATAAGTGCTCCAAGAGAATTAGCAGGAGGGACTAGGGTAGAAAGAGGGATCCAGAAGTTTAAGAGGTGAGTAGTGGGGACACACCCTTCCCTTCAAGCACGAGTACCAGGAGCAAAGGACATGATCAACAGCCCTCTGCTGACCCATCATCTCCTCTCCCAAACACACATCAACACAGAGTGCTCTGACCCTCTCTCCCACATCCTCAGACTCTGCCAGGACATGGGCTCAAGCCTCTCCCCAGCCCCACCCACGTGGGTGAAGACCCCAGGTAGCTTTGGCTGGTGTTACCGAATGGACAGGGAGTCCTAGCAACTGACCCAGTTCTCCTTAACCCCTCAAACCACTCTCTTCCCTCTGGCCTTGACTTGCTGAATACTGGAGAAGTTACAGTGTGGGTGAGAACTAAAAGTAGGAGCCTAGAGGTCCCAGCTAGTTTTGGAAAATAGCACCACAGAGGCCAGACTTTGCTCTTCCCTGCCAGACACACCCCCATCTTCTCCAGGGATTTGGCCAACACGTCACAGCCCTTCTTCTGGTTGACGAAAATGATGATGGGTGGATCAAAGCCTTGTTCCAAGATTGCCAGCAGCTTTTTCCTGGAAAGAAAAGAAGAAAATGAGATGCATAATATCTCCCATTCCAAGCGAAATGCCCAACCCTGGCCTGTGAACACCAATTCCAGGGTCTTCAATGCCCATGACATTCTGTTTAAGGGAAAAAAAAACTCTTGAAGGTCAGACATGGTGGCTCAAGCCTGTAATCCCAGCACTTTGGGAGGCCGAGGTGAGAGGACTGCCTGAGCCCAGGGGTTTGAGACCAGCCTGGGCAACTTGGCGAGACCTTGTCTCTACAATAAATCAAAAACTCAGCTGGGCATGGTAGCATGTGCCTATAGTTCCAACTACTTGGAAAGCTGAGGAAGGATCACCTGGGTCCAACAAGTTGAGGCTGTGGTGGCTGTGAGCGTGCCACTGCACTCCATCCTGGGCGACAGAGTGAGACTCCAACTCAAAAATTAAAAATAAAATTTAAAAAAAGTTCTTGAACGCTGCAGAGCAATTGCCCTGTGACTACCTCCTGTACTGAAAGTTCTCAAAGCCCTTTCTCCACCCTGTTTCCCCTGGCTCAGGTGCCCCCATACCTCTTTTCTGACTCTGACATGAGGAAGACCTTCTGTTCCACACGTTCATGGGGCTTGCCTGCAGAGCCAATGTATACCACAGCAGGTCGCCGAAGATAGCTCCTGGCCAGACGTTCCACTGCTGGGGGCATGGTGGCCGTGAACATAACTGTCTGAGAAAACAGGAGGCTCAGCCCTGTGCCGAGGCAGACATAATCACATATCCCACTGCCACTGCAAGCAGTTCAGCTCAGACTAAAGAATCTAAAATGCGCCATGGTATAAGCTTTGACAGGAAACAGTGTCCTCTACCTTGGCATCTTTCCCCAGTCCCTGCTTTTTTTTATCAAGGCACTTTGCATCTTACGATGACAAAAGAGCTGAGAACATTTGCTAGCACCTGTGGTCCATAGTAGCAGGATTCTTTGGAATAATTTTTCAAGGCTAAGCTAAATGGCTCCACTCCTAGGCCTATCAGAGGACTGACTGTACCTAGGCACACTTCACCATTCTGGAAACAGTACTCTAGGTACATCTAAGGCAAAAAGGGCCCATGAGCAGGCTTGGGAACTTGCTCAGCTTCTCCCAAATCAGAGAAGCAGCCTTACTTGGCGGTACTTATGTTTTCCTGACTCAAAATTGGCCAGCATCTTCTCAGGGTCCTCAGCCTCATCTGTGTCTGGTTTCTGGTTGCTGACAGGCATGTGCTCCAGGATCTTCTGCACGTCTGGCTCAAAGCCCATGTCAATCATCCTATCTGCCTCATCCAGCACCACATAGGTACAGCGGCTCAGCACCAGGTAGCGATTCTCCAGCACATCAATCAGACGCCCCGGGGTAGCAATCACAATCTGAGAAGAAAGGGCAATCATGTATGGCCCCAATAGGTATCCACTTCTTTTCTCTCCGATGAACTATCCACCCACTTGGGTGACAGACCTTCAATGCTAAGGAACTTGGACCCCAACTTCCAGTTTATGTTTAGCAGTGAAGGTTCCTGAAAACGGGCATGAAATCACACTGCTACCTT